AAATAACCGCACTATAAACCGAATAATGATCATTATGTGTAAGTGGAGTAGTGACATAATGTATATTACAAAGCTTCTTAACCTAATTCCGTTTGAGGATCCGAATAGCACAGTAGGTCTCGCACGAAAAGTGTAGTTTATAGTCGAGTACTCGAATCTGTATTTATTTACTGATCCAAATTAAATTTGTATAACAGTGATTTGGTGTTTAAGACTCAACTTCCAACCACTGAGTTGCATATTCAAACACCATTTCCGGTTTAGATAGCTGGGTAAAATCGCTAGTTTACACGGTGTAGCTTAAGAGCAACTGCATGATTCTGTATTTAAATACCGAGTGATATTATACTAAATGTTAAGCCAGTCAGAAATAATATGCTTTGCATATAATGAGCTGTTTTATTTACTAAACTAATTAAGAATATAGCTTTTTCTTGAACATGCTTATTAGCTACTTCTTACCGTTATTGTTAATTTCTAAACAGATTTATTTGCATTTAATTAATTATACTTGCCCAAATGAACAAAGATGGGTCGTTCGAATTTTATTCTACGTGCCAATCTATGCATTTGAGTCTTGGCTGAGTTTGCTTTTCCTAAAACATGAAGATTACTATGTGTATTTCGATTCTGTTCGAGATTGTTATGAAGGTTAGTTTTGGTTTGATAAAGTATGTAGTATCTTTTATTTGTTGGGATGTATTTCATACAAGTTTGACTAGCATTATTCTGTCAGATAATCATAGGAGGGTGTGTTTGGTTTTGTGGTAACATATTAACTACAGTGCTCTCTTCTGAATAAGAAACCTCTTTGATGCTGCATTTAAGCCTTGGACATGTGGTATCAGATATACAGTATGGATTGTTTCAATTAGTATGAACATGTAGGAAAATGTTTTTATTATGTGAAACATAGTATCCTCAAGTGATTATCTCGCATTATATATTCTCTCCACCTCTTTCTACCCTTTGTTACTATAATTTTAAGCCATCGGTTAAAACGACCTACTTCAAAGGGAAATCTCTGGGAAAACTTAACACATGTAAAAATCAGTAACTAGTTATCGATTTTTAAAATTTATTTCATATTCAGTCATAAAACACAAATGAAGAAATATAAATCTGAAGATATTTAACATCATGGACTATTTTCGGCTAGATATACTTGAATGAGAAATAAAAGTAATGTTTCAAGATGATCATATCGTTATCAGTTTCATAAGTACATTTGTTGATCAACACTCATCAGCTGTTCCTTCAACATATGTGATATACATAGTAGAGAGGTCTATTCTACATTCATAATTCATCTTATGTTGTTAAGTATTATGATGTAATTTTTGTGCTAAAATTTACTCTAAAAATGTACATTCTCAAATTGATTGTATTATATTTTTGAATTCAATACGAAATGGTTTGGATTATCCTGTTGTTAGTATTTTGACTGAAACTTGATTAATTTTGGTCGGCTTGCTACACGTTTTCTATTCTATATTAACTTGTGTCATAATGGATATATCGAGGCAATTCGTACAGGATGCCAACTAAAAATTGTCCGATTTCAGTCAAAATATCAACAATAGATTAATCCAGGCTATTTCAAATTGAATTAGAAAGCTCATTCCCGTCGCACAAGTTAGTGGTTATCCTGGATTCAGTATCTAAGTGGATAACACGGTGGTGTTTGAAGCAAACGATACTGTGTTTGAGTCCTGGGGTGAACATTATCTCTGGAATGCAAGTACATCCAGCCGACGAGTCCCGAATAGGATGAGATGCGCTTTTCGGACTCCGCTGCTAACCTCATTCCACTTATTGTCTATTAATCGTATTCTATAACATTAACTGACATTCATAAACAATGTTAGTGTAGCTCATTCAACAAATACTTGTTTATTTCCTCAACTTGTAGGGATGCTTTATTCGTGTGAAGGATAGTTACACTACTCAGCTACCTAAATAGAAATAGGTGAAGCGAATTTTGTGCCTGCCACTCAGTGGTTGAAGGTTGAATGAATAAATCACTAGGTCACCATCCCATTTAATTTATATTAAAGACATATCTAGCTTATGGATTCAGATAATTCCAAAAATTTTTGAGCCGAGTTTGTTTGCCTTTTACTTACAAAACATATTGGACCAGAGTGTTATTTTATATCCATCATCTTAGTGACGGGATTGCACTCACTGCTTATTAGAATCATATATGTACTAAATGTTCATGACATGGCCAATTACAATTTATTGTATGATCAGATCTGTAAATTACTTTCTCTAGTTGTTATGTATTCAACCTAAATGATGAAAGTATTTTATAACAAGAATTTTTATTCTAACTGGAAGTGTTTCTGTGATTAAGTCACTTAAGTTTCGAACGTTTAGTCGCAGGTTCAAATCCTACCCTATCTTTGGTTTGGGGAACCGGGTAGTGTTACTTGCTCTCACAAAATTATATAACTCCAAGATGAGTGGACAAGCCTGTCATTGGTATATGTGTTAACAACTAGTAAGTACAAGACGCAATCAGTTCCTACTTTTCTGTCGAATACTCATGAATTGTGCATAAATGCGACACACCAGTATATCTAATCACAGTCTAATGCCACTACTAAAAATGTTCATATGACCAATAATACGTGCCAGAAAAAAATGACATTAGTTGCAAACATGCACAAGTTTACAAGTAAAGTTATAAAAAGGAAACAATTTTGTGGCTTATATTTGATGTAGGATGATTGTAGTGCATAGATGTACAGTCTTGCATCAACTATTTTAGCTGTTATAAATAGAATATAATGGCGTAGCACAGTTTCAGAAGTAATCTCTATCTGTTGTGAATCAAGCATCAAAATAGTACCATTAGCTTTTGTACAAAAATTATAGCGCTATGCACAGGTATAAACAGTTACGTAGTCAAATTTTCTAAGTTTAAAGGATAAGTGAATACATACGCTTTGAAACTTCTGAATGGTGTTTGTATTGTCATTCACACTTCTAATGACTTATCTGTCTGGTTAGCAGTGTTGCATGATTAGATTATTGTAACAACATTATCATAATCTGACATGATTATTAAGTGTTTACATAAACGAGATAATCATTTATTTCAGTTTAAACAGTACTCGGATTTCCGCTTGATAAGTAAAGACACTTAAACAGTTTGTTTAAATTAGTTTAAACTCCAACTCCAACTACATTATTTCCTGTATCTTATAAGCGATTGAGATCATGGTGATAATTCTTCTCAGATTTTTGTCATTAAGGGAAAAAGAGAAGAGGATATTTGATTGCATTTCAATTCCATTGCAACAACGTTGATGTGTCTGAGATTAAATCTAACAGAAGATTCAACTGATTGTTTTGTGTGCGCATCGTTTTTTATCTTTATGTATTTCATTTGTATGACGAATACATGTTTTGAAGGTTCTTCAGACTCTGTACAAAACTTTTCCCAATTTTTTTACGACTTTTCTTGGTTCCCATCGGTTCTTTCCGTGGTATGATTTAATGAACACTTTGTCGCCAACATTACAGCTTTGGATAATAATATTGTGACTGTGCCCATCCCTCACTTTGGGTAGCGGCATGGCGCGCACCTTGGATCCCACTGCTAGTACTTATCCATCTCTGCTTAAAATAAAACGGTATAATTTGAATAATGCACATACAACCCTTCTTAGTCGAACGTTTTTGTTCGCATATGTTTGTATTTTTATTACTAATGTTGGTTTAACAGGACTATTAGTCTTCCGAATACATGATTGATTTACGTAGCTCTTAACCCACTTGATTGAATTCACATAAATTTATACGCGATATGGTCTTCCACTAAACACAGTTGAATTTGTAATTCCACTATTATTTCTATTACCCTCTCTGACCCATATTAATTCTGACCATGAGTCTCATAATTTCACTGAACTTATGGACTTATTCAAGTTAACACTGCATATTAGTCATCTCAACATAAACAATTTTATTTTATCGTTGAATTCATGAGTCAATTAAAGTTAGACCATTATGGAAAACTTGGAAGCACTGGATTGCCGTTTCGTCCTATTGTGGGACTCCTCAGCAGTGTGCATCCACGATCCCACCTCGAGAGATTCGAACCCAGGAGCTATCTGACCTATCAGACTGATAATAATTATATTCTCACTAGTGACTGGCTTCAAGAGGTATTTCCTGGAGTTCTAGTGGGAAGCAGTGACCAGTGGAGTTCAACCAAGTCTGTTGTGAGATAGTAACCCACTGAAGACAATGGTGGATATGTCGCTCAATTTCGTGAGTCGGTTGAGGTTAGACACTAACTTCGTTGGATGCCGGCTCAGTGGTCTAAAGGTTAAGCGTTCGCGCGCGAGACTGATAGGTCCTGGGTTGGAATCTCGCGAGGTGGGATCGTGGATGCGCACTGCTGAGGAGTCCCACAATAGAACGAAACGGCAGTCCAGTGCTTCCAAGTTTTCCATAGTGGTCTAAATTCAATCAACTCATGAATTCAACTATAAAAAATCACTAAAATCTCAAGAAAACTCTTTCTGATAATTTTATTTTATTTTACAAACTTAGATTCCCATGTTATAATTTTAAGCGACGTATTTTGTTCTAAACTTGCACATGGGCTCCAGTATCCTAAGGGATCAAATTGCGTATAAACCAATTGTTGGTCATTGGCCACAATGGGATTGCATCTCCTGATGTTGCTCCACTGCCTTGTGGATTAGACCTTTAGGTCAAAAGCTACGGGTGTGACCCCCTAAGAAAACCGCCTTTTTCGGTTTGGGCACTTGGGCAGTATCACAGCCCTCTCATAAATCAAATGAGTTTTGTGTGGCGCATAAGTATATGGGGCTTTGAATCGGAAGTAGCCCTAAAAGAGCAAGGACAGTGGAAAAAGCTGTAAGAAAACAAAATATGAAACAGCTCTCTCTATATATATATATATATATATATATATATATTTATATATCAACATAAGACACCTTTTGCACAATTGTGAAGCCCGTTTAGCGTACAATGTGTCAGTTAGAACACTTCTGTTCAGTGTTTTTGGAGAGCGAACTATTGTAACTGAGGATGCTTAGAGATACTTTGTGCTTGAGCGTCGTTGTCCGAATGATTGCTGACAACCAGTGACAACACCATATTAATTATAATGAGGTTCAATATAGTTAGTGTCACCTTCATGAAATATCGACTTCGGTGGCTTAAACAACATCACAGCCTCTCTCGGTTCATGAAGTATTTTCCGATGCTGGAACTGGGTGGAAAAAGCGGAGAGGTGATCAGTTTATGAAATGGCTCCGTAATATGTATCCAAGGAAGCGGTGTAGAACAAATTCCTGTAGGTCTATTACGACTTCCCGGTTTGTGTCTTGGAGATGGTACAACTCAATTGCTTTAGATATTGTCAGACATGGTTCAGATTAGAAGAAGCCAGTGGCGATCTTGTTGTAGTTCTCTTTTACATCCCTCACAAAAGTGAGAGGAACTACCTTATCTGAAATAAGTAGTTCTTTGTCTTCTTCCTATTTGAACTGTATCTTCGAATACACACTATTCTTTTTCACTTTTCTTCTTGTTCTTGGTTGTGCTTCTTTTTTCTCTTTTACTTTGCATGGAGCGAAATATTTCACTGCCCATTTGCATCAAATTTTATGTTGAACATAATAATGAAATCCATATATTCACTATGTGTTTTGCGTATTTCGTTCCTATTTATAAGAAATTCTTATCGTTAGTATCTTATGGGTACCCAATAAACTACTGAAATAATTTCAACTTATGTAGAAGTCAAAAGCATCAGTCATCTTGTTCTGCTTATGTTACCAGTTGAAATAATTTATTCACGCTCCTGTCATCTGTTTACTCTAATGTGAGGCTGAATTTATTTGAACATATACTATGTTTCGGAAGACAGTTTTGTTAGATAATTATTATTTGGTCGGTTGACTGAAACGAAACGCAGTTCTATGACCATGAGGTTTTCTGTCCTCTTCTTTAATTAACTTTGTTTTTTTGCCATTTTTCCTATCTTCATCCTAAACTACAATATTTTGTCAAGTCTACTCACTACTTTAGTACTATGCATATATTGACCAATATTCAGTGTTTATTGTGACACGAAAATTTAGGAGTTACTTCCTTTTTTATCTTAACAGTCTTGTGTATGACCATACTAAAATTTTCGATTTTAATCTGCTTTCAGTTCGTAATTTCTGATCGCGTTGTTCATACATTTAAATTTTTCGCGTGGGTGTTAAACATCTCCCTATACGTGGCTATTACTGTCTGTTTCATACTCATCTGAGGCAAATTTAAACCAATCATACTTCGTATTGTTATACGGTCATGTGGTTGTCATAGTAACAGATTGGTGATTATTTGGGAAACCACCGTAGGAATGTATTAAACTGTTGTCATAGACAGGCATGAGCATTGTAAATCGATAAAATTCCTTAGTCTTTGTCACTGTTTCTCTCACTATTGCATATGTCTAGAGAACATTTTCTGTATCTCATGCAATCCGCGAAACACCTTCATAAAATTTGTTGTGGAAACAGTAGTAACATTTATTAGTAATTTAAACCAAAGGGTTACAAAAAACCAGTGGATTATTTCTGTTTATTGCACTGATGGATTCTTGAAAACCCATCTCATCAGGCTTTGAACACGGTGAAGAGCGGAAACAAATCAGATCTAGGTTAAACAAAAGTATGAGAAACGATCATGAGCAGTGGTTGGCAACGAAAGCAAAAGAAATGGAAAAGGCAGCGGTTGTAGGCGACACCAGGCAACTGTTCAGACTAATAAAAGAAACCGGAATTAAAAAGTCAAGTGTAAACGAGACAATCTCGGAAAAAGATGAGACTCTCATCTGCTCTCAGCCCAAACGTTTGGAACGATAGGCGGCACACTTTGGAGAACAGTTTAGCTGTAGACAGACGCATTCCATATGAGAACCGGTTCCAGACAAGGCTTTCTACTCTACACCCTTTCTCTTTCATCTGCTGGTTGACTGGATTATGAAGAGGTCGACATCTGAGGGGAAGCGCGGGACACAGTGGAAAACGTGTCTGAATTTTCTAAGCATAACTGTAGACGTCCCATCGTAATCAATAAGATATTAGCTTTATGATTTTGTTAGTTTATCGACTGCCAGTATTTATATACGGTAGAGCTGACATTGGTTCGACATTAAGACATGTCTCAGGGCTGTATTGAGATAACTATGTACTTCAGCCACTTGAAATTCATTTGCATACACATTTAGACAAACCTGTGTAAATCAAATTCGTACCAGGTTTTCGCACACAACAACAGTTGACATATCAGCCACGATTGTTATTAATACGTCAATTACTCAGTAACGAAATCTCAGTTTTCCATTAGAGCTGAGATCGGTCAAGAGGTAGTATGTGTGAAGGTACATCAACTGTAACCGATTATTGATGTTATGAAATGTCATTTGGTTTGACTGAAAGGTTGTACTGGAACATCTGTTATGCATCATACTGACTGCTTTTGAACTTTGATATGACATAAACATAGCTCAAATATTTCAAGATATTTGTTGAAAGTGCTTATTTGATGAGTAAGAAATAAGCCTGCTGGTTAATTTTTGATGACATTAAATCATTTTTTTTCATTTTATAGTTTGTAAGTCAGCATATTCTTTTATTAAATAGAAAGTCTATTCATCTGTTTAGTGATTTTACCTTTGATATCAGTTCATTAAGAGGAGGCTAGTCAATAAATCAGTCCCGGAAGTGACCATCACTTGGCCAAATCTTATTGTTGCACTCATCTGTCAATTACCATTCTATTAGTTTATGTTAACCAGCTAAAAATCATTTATTAAGTCCTAAAATGTTCATCCATAGCAGATGTGCTTTTGGACAGTTAATAACTATTGGTTGGGATCTAGCATTGATATTGGACGGTTTCAGCACTTTAGCAATGTTTACATATTTAGAAGTATACAAAACTTTACTAAGTAGTGCTCATCTAACAGGGACAACAGAAGTAAGCATATCCTCTAAAACTAATGACCAAGCACCCAAATGCCCTGGTACGGCCGAGAGTGGGGAGAGTCACCTCTCCCTCTCGAAATACTCTCATATGGCCAGCGAATATATAGCCTCTGCCAGGGAAGTCCTACTCACTGCCTCCTCGTGGCGGGGATGTTGTTTACGAAAGTGAGAGGACGAAAAGCGAATGTCCGGCGCTTTAACCGGGTTGGTGGACACGGAGGGTTCACCTAGGGGAGTTGGAAAACCCTGATTCCAAACCAATGGTGCACATGGGCTCCAGTATCCTGATGGAACGAATGGCGGACGAATCTGTCATTGGTCAACGACTACCATGGGACTGCATCTCCTCACGATGCTCCACTGCCTTGTGGATCAGACATTCAGGTCATAGGCTCCGGGTGTGGCCCCCTAAGAAAACCACCTGCTTCAGTCTGGGCACCTGGGCAGTATCACAGCCTTCACACAAATCGAATGAGATTTGTGAGGCGCATATTTATCTGGTGCTTCATTGTACCAATATTTATGTGTTTAAATAAACAATAAACAGTTACTTGATACACTCTGGATCTGAAAACACAGGTGGATCCAAGAGTTAAAATTTACTTTTTTTGGGGGGGATAGTGATATTCTGAGCACAGCTGAATAGACCACACGTAAGGTTAGCCTGTCAGGCGTAGAAGTTTGCATTAATGGCAGAACTAAACGTTGTTTTTTCGCTTGCTTTACATTACCTTAGCGTAAGTAAATTGTTCTCGGTAAGGAAGCATCAAAATCTAATGCCATTGATTTACAATTATAGGTTTGTGTACTTGGGTTTGATCCAAGCCGTGAAGGCTAACTATACTACCCAACTTTCCAAAATTGAACATGGACATGGTTCGAGTCTTGGACACCGGTTGGAAGCCTTTCGGATGTTGTGCTTGCTAGGTGTAACTCAGAAGTACATAAACCTTGTGAAGGCTCTTTACTCGAACACTACCAGTCAAGTGGGAGCTTATGGCGAACTGTCATGTGATTTTACAACCTCAAGTGGTGTCCGTCAAGGCTGTCCACTATCCCCATTTTTGTTTAACTTCGTCATAGACCTACTGCTGGAAATAACACTTTCGACGACTGAACTATCAGGAATTGATCTCCTACCAGGAGATCCACTTATCGATTTAGAATACGCAGACGACATAGTCCTATTTGGTGAAGACGTTGATAAAATGCAGAATCTTCTGTTCGCACCGAGTAACAATGCAAGGATGTTTGAGATGCGTTTCCCCACCTCTTAATGTAAATTGTTACTCCAGGACTGGCCCACGTCAACGCCTGAACTAAGGATAGAGAGTGAAGTAGTCGAACGCGACGACAGCTTCACTTACCTTGGAAGTCTGATCAGCCCTAATGGGTTGGTGTCTGACGAAATTTCTGCACGGATTCAAAAAGCGCATTTGGCTTTTGCCAACTCACGTCACCTATGGCGAAGGCGAGATATTCGTCTATCAATTAAGGGACGAGTATACTGCACAACAGTTCGTTCTGTTCTACTTTACGGTTGCGAAACGTGGCCATTCATGGTAGAAGATACTCGTAAGTTACTAGTATTTGACCACAGATGTCTTAGAAATATTGCTCGCATCTGCTGAGATCACCAGGTACGTAATAGTGAGGTTAAACACAGGGTATTAGGGAATGATGGTAAATCAGATGATGAGGTGATGAATCTTCATCGACTGAGATGGCTGGGCCATGTGTTACGTATGCCTGAACACCGATTACCACGACACTCAATGCTGACTAGTATTGGCGATGGTTGGAAGAATGTTAGGGGCGGCCAAACCAAAACGTGGCATCAGTGCTTGAAGTCACTAACTTCTAGTTTGAGCCATTTTGGTAGATGCACACTACTTGGTTGGAGTCCGCGTCACTATCGTAACCAATGGTTGGAGACTCTGGGTGACATGGCTCAGGATCGATCACAATGGCGTAGGTGTATACACTCTTTGTCATCCCTCAAACTGTGAGATTAAAATTGATTTAATATCTGTCTTTCTTCATGTACCATATCCTTATATGCGATCTTTCTTTTATATCTTACCACCATTACATTAATTAATTCTATGAATTCGGTGTACATCTTGTTGTGCCGATGAGGTATGGCAACTTGGACCGATGCATATATGTGCCTGGTCCTACGTTGTAGCCTACTGACGGAAACATGTTTCAACAATATTTGTTTGTATGTGACCTCAAGTAAATACTCCCTAAGCTTTTACAACTTGTGAAGTAAATGTAATTTAAGGCTGGCGTTGATACTGTAAGAGATATCTCGATTGTTGACCATTAGACTACGTAGTTTATTTCATATCACCTATAAAATACAAGATCTTAGATTTTTTTATATAGTGAGATTTCACTGTCATTCAATATATTCTACTAATAATTACTTCAGTCTCCATTCATGAACGGTTGTATGTTTTGATTAGTCTGTCTAGTGTCGTTCAATTAATAGAATACATTAATAATTATAAATAAATAATATATTCGTAGTAGCCCAATGATTAGAAAAATTAAATTTTTTGACGTTTCGTGACCCAGTGTAAGCCACATTTTCAAAGAATAAATAACCAGAATCAAATCCAAGTTGAAATAGAACATGGAAACAACAAGAATATTATGTAATCAATCACAAAACAGGTCTGAATAAATCAATTTCATGTCATTTTTGTCAAGGTTATTCAAAAGCGACATGTATGTAAATTTGTGTGTATGTATATGTGAACTGTTAAGGATGTTTGACCAACTTATGCAATTAATTATTACGCTGGAATAGTTTAATGGGATGTCAAGTTTCTTTGTCGGAGTGAGAAATGGTTGCTAAGTTGCTCCTTTTGAAATCCTGTCATCCATCATCTTTTACTAGTTCAGTTTTAAGAATTTAAGCGTTTCGTATTTAACACAGCTTTACGTAATTTGATAAAAACTTTAGGTCTACATTTTATGTTTGTTCATACTCTATCAAAACCTATGTAAATCAGTAAGAAAACTCATGTTTTCCGGTACCACAGTCAGATACTTAGAGCTCAGTCGTATCTTCTACATATCTGAATAACATGAAGATAGCAAAAATACAAAATGGTTTATAGTATGATCTTTAGTACTAAATGACAACACTCGTTTGACCAAGTTATAGGACTAAGATTCAGACCAAAGGGAGATACAATCAAAATATAGGGGTGGACAATGGCAGGTTAAAAGTTAACAACAATCAATCTAAATCAAGATCGACTGGAAAAGCTGTGAGTAAGCTCAATGAACAAAACTCCACCTGAGTTACAAATCTCCATCATTTTTGTTATATTTCGAAGCGAATTACGAATGATAACTTTGAGAACTATTTGTGGATCAGTGTGATATGTGTATTTCCTATTGTATAATTGCTAAATAACTAAACTATTCATATTCGTGTCGCTCTTATTATAAGCTTTATTTTGAACTATAGACTATTATTATACGATTCACCATTCTTGAGTTATCCGTAGTCCATTAATTACTGTTCCCCTATTCACAGCCACATTTGGCCGAATCTTGTTCAAATGTTATTTTCTATTTCATGGTACGATGTGGTCACTTTGTTTGGTATATAAACACAATATGATTGAAAATAATGATTCATATTGCAGAGGCAGTTATTGGTGTCCTGGACTTAACTGGCAGAAAGTAGGACTGATAAGTACTCGAGACTGCTCATACGGTTTTCGGGTATTATTGATCCGGTCGATAAATTACTGCTCTCCAATCGGCAGTCATATCACGTCGTATATTATACAAGGCACGCACGCACACGATATAACAGTTTTAAAACTCGTTCTTTGTTTCATAGATTCTCTTGATCAGATTTTTATTTGTTCTTATGTTTCTTATTGTTTTTTATTCTATTTTGTTGATTCGTTTTAGCATTTGTGGTCTATAGTTTTTTAAGTTTGTGTTATGAATACCTCGGTGGAGAAAGTTGCATCCTGTCTGAAATTCGCGGTCGCGAGTTACCGTAAGTTAAGAATTGAGAGTTAAATTATTTTTTTTAATCCTGTAGTTATAGTTCAGGTCATTGTACTTCGATTATTGTTTAGCTGAAAAAGCTGAGTTTTAGGACGATCTCTGAGGTGCTTTGCACCGGTTATGCGAATTACGTGTCTGCTGTTTAGTTCACTTTAGTTGATTAACGGGACTGTCTGATATTTGTATCTGCATGTGCTTGGTTTCTATCTACTTATGCCTTTCGTAGTTCGTTTCTATCTTCATCATTTCACTTCATATCAGAAATCGCAACCTCATAAATATAGATTTCTTCTAGCGAATATGTTTTATATTAATGTTCACGTCGTTTTCTGATTGAATATTCCGAAGTAAGGGGTCGAGGTTTGAATGTGAAATCCAGTGGTTGAAAGTCGACTATTTCAATCATTGGGCCACATCGTCACATTTCTGTGGGATAATTTTTGCCATGAGTTCCCTGGTTTAAATGTTATTCAGTCGTGAAGAATTCGTAGAAGTGATAGCGTTATATGTTGTGAATAATTAGTGATATTGATTACAATATTAATATTAAGAAACAAGAATATATGATAATTTAAAATCGAATGTTTCGAAACCCATCCCTTAATAGTTAGAAAAATCAATTTAGAACCTTTTCACTACTGTTTACTTCAGTTTAACTAAGTCAGGAAGTTTCGCTAGCTCTAACACAAAACTGTTAGTTAAAGACTTGTCGAAACCCTAGAAACACGATTTTGCAAATGTAAATAGTATTATGAGAAGTACACAACTGTAGTTAAAAATTTGTTCAGGGACGCATAAGCTCTGATCTCGTTTCCGCTGATATTTGATTTGGGACAAATTATTAATTTTAGAAAGCAAATATTACTTCTGTTTCATCCATTTACTCTTGATGACATAGCCCCGTCCATTTTTTCGTTTTATATGAAGGAAGAGACATGATGTATCACAAGATGGTAAAAAAACAAATATTAGTCAGGTCAATAAACTGGTTGTTTATAAATGCTGTCCGAAGACATCGATTATCAAACGAATGCTTGTCAGGAGGCAAGAACTTCCTGATTGAGGCACGCCTGATTTTCATGATCAGTGGTCGAAAACCTTAAGTGGTGACGAGGCTCGAAATCGGTCGCAGAGACATAAATGTCCCTGTTCCTTATCTTAGGTTAAATATTGAGTTTTAATATTATCCCATACTTTGATTGATCGGTTCCATCTGTTCTTTTCGAACCATAATCCCAAGTTTTAGTTTCTCTTTCACTAACATACACATCAATATTACTTCTAATTCTCTGGTATACATCTTGTTAACTTTCTCTAAATATCTTGATGTGAAGTGTTACAACGTTGATCAATCCACATTTGTGCCACTTCAGACGACGGTATTTATGTATGAATAACTTATAAATGCTTTATTTTACATTTGACTAGTTAAATTCTAGTTTATAGAACGAAACGATAGTCAGTAACATAGCGACAGTATAAGCTATTCTACTGCGCCTCAGTCCTACTTAGTAGATATATGTAGATATATATGTATGCAGATATATATGTATTCCTGCTATGTTTGAAGCGATTACGAGTTCCCTAATCTGAGAACGAACAAAGACTTTGTGACCGAAGACCAATAAGCTAGCTGTTCTGATGCGCCCCAGCCCCGCTAATTAAAGAGAGATGTTCAAGTTCAAAGCGAGGAAAATATATTCCGCAAGCACTCAGAAGTACAAGCAATCACAACAGGTACAAATCAAAAGTATATGTACAGCATAAAATTGTTCTTGGGAAGCGTTACAAAATAGCATACTAAAAGACACAACTAACCAATAGCATTTAAGATCCTCCCTGGTGGGAATGCGACATGAAGGTGAAAATGAGCGCTTTTGGCGCGAAGACAAGAAATTCAAATTTTTAAAATAGAGTTACAAAAATAAGGCATTTACCAAGTGAGTTCTGGGGATCTAGGATCCCCGACAATTCCATAGGCAGTCGGAAGCACAAACGAACAAGCACACAACATATGGATATATATATATATATAGTACAAAATGTCCTTGGAAAGCGTCACAAAATAGCCTTCTAAAAGAGGGAGCGAACCAACGACATTTAAGGTTCTTCCAAGTAGGGGATACAAACTGAAGGTAAAGTGGAGGCTTTTGGCGCGAAAATGAGGAATTCAAATTTTAAAAATAGTTTCAAAGATGAGACGTTTACCAAGTGATTTCTGGAAATCTAGCATCCAGAACATTTTCTGTGTTAGGCGTTTCTGCTGTTCCAGTCTTTTAACATTCTCTTTCATTAACGAGTGTCTGGAATATATGTCCCGTAAATACTTTCATATTCGACTTCTTACGTTTACATTTTTATTGACTCGATATATGCGAACTGAGCAAGTTATATGTTTCGCCTACGATCAGTATCATTCAGTCATTGTGCAGTCGGATGACGGACGTATAAGGTGAGACAATAGATTGTTTACTATAACAACCCAAACAGCTTTTTGTATTAAGAATGATCCCGATCAGTGTGGAACGTATCTTGAATTATTTATGAAATGCATATATGTTTATCATATTTGTGCGAACTGGTAACTAAAGTTAGTGAAGTCAACTTTTTCTGTCACTAATTTTCTCATATATTATTTTAGACGATCATGGGGATATTGTACTTGTTGTTTTTATAATCAAACGTATACAATTGAATTTCTACGATTTTGCAAACAGGTATGATTTTTAATAAATTTAACTTTTGGATTTTAACCTCATACATCTTTTTGACAGTGTAAAATAGGGATAGAGTGAAATAAAAATTGCCAGAATAACGGTATTAAATAGAGGGCATATAATAACTTGAATAACCATTTATTATTTTTTTAGCCCTGTCTCACTTAAACTTTTCATGCCGTTGTTTACATTAGATCTATACATATAGGTTGATCATAGGAAATGAGAAGCCAAGAAGTGATGTGTTAAGTTTCCTTCTGTTTTCTAGTTGATACCTTAGTTTGTGGTGAAAACTGTCTTCAAATAGAAAACACCTAATTAAATAATCATTCAACTATTCATAATGACCGAATTAGAAGATGGGTTTTTCAAAGTTTAGTAGCCGATCATTCACCATTCATAAATACCGTCGTCTGAAGTGGCACAAATGTGGATTGATCAACGTTGTAACACTTCACATCAAGATATTTAGAGAAAGTTAACAAGATGTATACCAGAGAATTAGAAGTAATATTGATGTGTATGTTAGTGAAAGAGAAACTAAAACTTGGGATTATGGTTCGAAAAGAACAGATGGAACCGATCAATCAAAGTATGGGATAATATTAAAACTCAATATTTAACCTAAGATAAGGAACAGGGACATTTATGTCTCTGCGACCGATTTCGAGCCTCGTCACCACTTAAGGTTTTCGACCACTGATCATGAAAATCAGGCGTGCCTCAATCAGGATATTCATGTCTCCCAGCACAACTTTTTCTGGTGATACTTGAGGAGTGTTTCAAAATCTGCAATCCCAATACTACCAACTTATATATTTCTTCCACCTCGCAACCAAGTTTTTCAGTCATAAGACGGAACGAACAACTCATTGTTTTACTCTCTCAATGAAACTCATACGAGTGTATATCTTAAGTATTAACTCGAGTAGGATGCCCTCATTCTTTATCTTGAGTTTTCATACTTCTTACTTTTTATCACTGTATTTCTACTACTTTCTTCACAAAAATTTCTTGCATGCTCTATAGGTTACTTTAGTGGACGAGATTTTTTGGAACTTTTTCTTCTTTCCAAGAATTTCTCATCCGGTAACCTAACAAAGTTAATGAGTCGTGAAGAACAGGTAATTTTGTCAATGTGATTAGCATCTCTGTTCTATATGTTAACGACGGGTTTGATTGCCCGGCTGCCAGAACCGAAGCAATTGAAGCAAGTTTCGAACCTGTCACTCACTGGTTAAAAGTGTATTTGTTTGATCAGTGACTCACTTCTCAACACTTAAACTATGGTAAACATTCAGCGGTTTATTTTTGATTTCTTCCCAGTTGAAACCTTTTCTAGAGATCATTCTTCTATATGGAGTTTTTTAAATTGAGAACGATTTATTTAACACTTTAAGATCTCTAATTAATTCATTTTATGCTATTGATTTTCATAAATTTGTTGAATTCAGAAAACTAGTGTAAGGCTTGGAAATTTAGTAATTCCCAACTATATGTTTATTTAATTCTTAAATTTTCTACTAAAACCACTAGAATTTCTTGTTGGTTGTAAATTAGTTGTAATGTTTTCTGATCAAATATGACTTGATTCTTGTTACGTATCACCAATATTTCACTGGTTGAAGCAATTGCTTAATAAGCATTTCACTAATGTTTGCTTCATGTTGTACAGTATATCATACTTTGTCCCATTTTTACATATTGTAAACTTTTCGGATAAGTATTAAAATAAAATTCACCTGTATTATTGCGGATAAGCGGGAATTTTGGATACTGAGTTTTTAATTATTCATTTCTGTTTATTTCAATAGGCTACTTTACAGTTTTGTGTGATTAAACCGTTGACATCGATTGTAACTATTATTCTACAAGCAATTGGCATATATAAACATGGAATTTTCAGGTAATTTAATCATTGATAACTGTAACGATTACATGATGTGGAAACAGTTTTCGGATGCACCGTATTAGTGGCTTAATCATTTTGTGGTTGTAGCAGTTATCGCCAGTGACTTAGTTGTCTTATGGTGATAGAATTGAGACTCTCAGTTTAATTTCATGCGTTGTAAATGTGCGTTATTGAGAGTCCCAAACTATTAATTAAATTTCAATAATTTTCCGACCATAATAAAGCCTAACTTCAAATTAGAGATGTAAACAGTAGTAAGGAATTTAGGTTAGGTATGTCATCTGGGGAAAGATTTAACGATATGAACGATCTGCAGTCACTGACTGGTTGAAAGTCAAATGCTAAGACCGACTACGAATACTGAAACATTCTTTCTGAAACCACGTATACCATTCAAGCTGGCTTCTTTCAGCGTTTACACACTAATGCAGATCGGAAAGCAAGTAGGTTTGGATTTGTCTTTAGAAAGTTTTAACATCGATGTCCGTAGTCTATTCGAGACCCGTATTCAAGACTAGTGAAGAAATAAAAATTCACTCTCAATCTGTTGCTTCGAAAAGCCTGCTTCATGTGCGTTTATCCGGGGATTCTTTGGCATCTTCGTCTGGTCTCGCTGGCGTTAGCGTCGCACTAAGCGCTGGAATTGAGGCAACACTGACTGTTTGGATCCCCATTAATAGTCGGTTATGTGCTGTTAAATTAGAAAATTCCATTAAGGTAAGAAGAAATGGGTGTGGGAAACGATGTCTTTTCGTCATCTCCACTTGAGCTCCGACAGATTGAAACCCGAATGAGGTCAAAGATGAGTGTTACCACCAGTTAACTGTTCTTTTACAGAAAGTGCTTTCGACAGTTATTGTGGTACTAGCCGAAGACTTGAATGCTCATGTCGGGCGTCTAGGCACAGAAGAGAGTCGTTTAGGTGGCCGATGGGAACTTGTTAGTCGCAGGTCGAATACAAGTAATCGTCTACTGCAACTGTGCGTAGACCACAAACTGTTTCTGGCTAGCGCTAACTACCGACACAGTCATCATCGATGTGCTACTTGACGTACTCCCTATCCATCTCAAACCTAGATTCAGACTGATCACATCGTTATCGGCTACCTCTGGCGTTGTTGTTTACAAGACTTCCGCTCCTTTTGGAGTACCTATCTGCACTCTTATCATGCCCTTGTTTGTTCTAATCGTACCTTACTTTTCAGTGGCCAAGAAATTCACCGTCCTGAACGGAATAATGTCACTAAATTGGTTGCAGCTTCTTTCGCAACTAAATATCAAAGCGAGTTAAATCCAAGGTTAGCTACCCTCCCATCGAAAATTATGGGTGAGCAGTTGTTGCGGATGCATGACTCCATGAAAATGGCGAGTAAAGTCGCTTGCGACTTCGCGAGACGTCCCGCTTATACCCACTGGGTTTCTTCAGGCTCCTTACAACTCATTGAAGCCCATCAGTTTGGCCACAAACGAAGGCTTTTACGTAATGAAATTCGACAAAGCTTGCGCAAGGGCGGAGAAGCCTGGTGGTCGGAGCACGCTAATGAGTTGGAAGCATTAGCTGAATCTGGTAACTGCCGGAAGCTCTTTCAGCTCATCTGAGCCACTGGCAGCAAGACGTCTGGTGTGAGCAAAACTATCTCTGAGGATGACTGAATGCCAATCACTAAAATCTATCGACGTCCTGGACGATGGACAGAATTTTTTGAGGGACAATTCAACCGGTGTGTTGCCCCGGCAACATCGGCCAGATTGTATTTCCGTACGTGGCGTACGTGACGACTAACCCACCTAACGAGGCGGAAGTTCTCAAGGAACTGTAATCAGTAGAGAGACGACTTACGCTTCGTATTTTTGGAACTGATTGATAGTGTCTATCAATGATATCTATGTGGTTAAGCCAATTCTGTATGCCGATGATCTTAAAGTAGTGTATTCATTTTCTCCACATGAGCTGAACGACATTCAAAATTGCATCGCTTGGAGCCCGACAAGGTAGCACAGTGGTGCTCAAAATAGCAGCTGGAGCTTAATATAGCTAAATGTGGATGGATATGTCTTCATGATACATCATTCAACTTAGATCTTACCATAAATGGTGAAGTATTATCTAGGTTACATGCAGTAGTAGACTTAGGACTTGGGTACTCCTACGACTCGTCGTTTCCAGAACAGATATTGAAACAGACTTCCAAGTCCCAACGTCTTATAGGTCACCTAACTCGAAACCTCTTTTAACATTGAATCATGTGATTTAATGTACAAAGCTTGTGTTTGACTACTCCTAAAATACTGCACGTTTAATCCCAGTACTGCGGGCATACAGGATAAATTACTGTTGGAATCAATATATATATACTGCATAAGTTTATGTGTGAAAATTCATTTAAATCATTCATGATAACACTATACTTTAACTGTCTATCCCATTGTTTCAAATGTCGAAATAGCTATTACAATTAGCTATTATAATTATCACATCATACGGCAACGATTCAAGTTTTTAAAAATAATATTTGTCAATTTCTTCTTTAGCGCTACAAATGGCTACTTATATGTGACAGTAGTATATAATGGATCTGCATTCGTGGCACTTTATGCTTTAGTTTTATTTTACTTGGCTACTCGCAGCATCCTACAGCCATTCGATCCTGCAATTAAATTTGCTGTAGTTAAATCCGTTGTATTCTTGTGCTTTTGGCAAGGTTTGTTGAATTATTTTTTCCCTCTCCATAATATTGCATCTCCCCTTTTGTCAGTGCTGAATTTAATTTATCATTGTATAGTGTAAGTGGTTTTACAGTTCTCTTATATTGTTTTATGTATAGATTTGTTTACATCATCGAATAATCAATTGTTGGATGATTCTTCGTATTTTTAATCTGATTTTGATTTAGCTTGTTTTTAAGATACTCTGTAATTGAAATTAAAACAACTGTAACATGGCACACTAAGCCGCCTTGACTGAGCTTCGTCAGGGAAATTATCAAGAATCGAAATTACTGAAAACATGAATGGATTTACGAAACAAGTGTGTGCTAAAGCAGTTGTTCAGTTATTTTTATCGTATTCAACCTGAATTATGTTAAAGTACGGATGTGAATCTGTCATTGTTGTGAAATATAGTCCAATGGTCAAGCTTCAAAGAGCTCACAGATTTGTGCCGTACAACATATTTTCAGTTTAATAACCATATATAAGCGAGCAAAATACAGCTCAGTGAGATTACCCATGTCATGATTTATGCAGAAATAATAATGCAAGGCTTCGGAGCTACAGTTCAACCAAAATTCAAACTGAAGATATCGATACCTAATAATAGCAAAAATGATCATGATAATACATTATTATTATCCTCAAAACATAAGATCTCGAAAGTGAAAATAAAATGATCGACAACATTGAATATATGAAATTTTATAAGCGAAGAAAAACACGTGTGAACGGACAGCATAGTATAGTAGTATTTTCAATAATTAATTTAACGTTGAAACATGTCAAAGCTTAAAAAATAAATGTATTACATATGCTATCAGAAATTGCAAAATAAGATTTGTGTGCATATATTTATGTGAATAGTCAATTCAATTTGAAGAAGTAGGCATTAAATATGAAAGTGGATGAAGATAAGCTTATTCATATATTCAGTTTGATTTTTGGTTGAACTGTAGCTTCAAAGCCTTGCATTATTATTTCTGCATATGTCATGACATGGGTAACCTCACTGAGCTGTATTTTGCTCGCTTATATATGGTTATTAAACTGAAACTATGTTGTACGACACAAATCTGTGAGCTCTTTGAAACGTGGCTGTTATGAATTTAAAATGCCGTCGCCAATTTGTTGTGATTTTATACCCAGCTTTTTATCACATGAATTATCCACCAATCGAAATACAACTTACCCAATCTTAGCGCTGTGCCAAATCAATGACATTCAACCGGTATGAGCAGTCTAGCACCCTTATCGGTTCCTTATCCGCTTTTCCAATTGAGTCCAAAAACTTTAATTGCAGCTTCAACCACGCGAATCATTTATTTCAAGCATACTTGATCTATATACCAGACAGACAGACCGCATCACACCATGAAATAGGAAATAATATCTGTACAAGATCAAGCCAAATGTGGCTGTGAACGTGGGAAACAGTAATCAGTAAACTGAGTATAATTTAGGAACAGTAAGTTGTATAATAATAATTTATAGGTCGGAATGAAGCATATAATAAGATGAATATATATAGAATAATAGTCCATTAATAGGTCCCGGAAGTTACCTGTACTTATGTCTTCACTAGGATATAACAGTTGCCATTGGTTTTTTTTGCGTGTCCGAGAGTTGTTCGTTGCTTTCGAGAAGATAATTTGGACGAAATTTGTTTTGATTAGGATGCTTCAATATTATATAGAGTTTCTTAGGCAAGTTGTAATTTGTAGTCCCTGGTGTTGACACTATGTTTGGTTTGCAGGACTACGGCCTAACATAGAATCGATGAAGAATGGATCCCTTGAATTTCATTCACTACTGCTCTTTTGATTTATCTTTCCTGAATGAGTTTGTTATCCATTGAGCAAAACTTTCCATTATTTTCTGGTTAACAATTTCGCCTGTAGCTATTCTAAAGTTATTGCCGGTCCTAAGTCCAGGTAAAGGAGAAGGGTTTGGCATAGGGTCTCCAAGTATGTTAAGTAACTTAATAATATGGCTTAACAAGCATTAACCGTAATTGAAGTCGGTTGTAAGATAGTTGCTATAATCCTCATCCCGTAGAAAAATATCGTGCTGAAGAATCGCCAACCAGATTAAATAAATTAAATCATTTTAACTCTTCCCTGATAGAATTATGACACCTTATTTTGAAAGCCGAGATTCTTCTAAAGTCACAAGGCCGATGCCTTTTCTAACAACCAGAGCAACATTTTTTATAGGTACATGGAGCGTCCGAACAATGTAGGACACCGAGGGGACCAGTCAAATAGCTACGAAAATGAGGTGATACAACTTGACAATGCTCAGAATCAGCGGAACCCATTGGATCCAAGCCAACGGTAAGATACAGCAAAGGCTAGATACAAGAGAGATGCTGCTGTACTCCGGTCACGAAGAGGAAAATGCTCCACACACTCAGGGAGTTGCTCTGATTCTGTCCAAAGATGCACGAAGTGCACTTATAGGATGGTAATCTCATGGATTCAATATCATTAAAGCATCATTAAAAACAAAGAAGGAAGGAATCACAATGAATGTTATCCAATGTTATGCACCCACCAATGATAGCAACGACGACAACAAGGGTCAGTTTTATAAGAGGCTGCAATCGATCATAGCGAATTGTCTAAGAAAGGATTGCATCATCCTGATGGGAGACCTAAACACCGAAGTCGGCTCCCAAATGCCCTGGTACTACCGAGAATAAGAGGAGTCCGCTCTCTCTCTCGAAATGCTCTCACATGACCATGCGTATATAGCCTCTGCCAGGGAAGTCCTACTTACTGCCTTCTCGTGGCATTACTGTTGTTTACGAAGTTTAGAGGAGAAAATGCGAATTTCCAGCGCTTTAACCAGGCTGGTGGACACGGAGGGTCCACCTACGGGAGTTGAAGAACCCTGATTCCAAACTAATAGTGCATATGGCCTTCAGGGTCCTGAGGGAACAAATTGCATATAAACCAATTGTTGGTCATTGGCTACAATGGGATTGCATCTCCTGATGTTGCTCCACTGCCTTGTGGATTAGACCTTTAGGTCAAAGGTTCCGGGCGTGGCCCTCTAAGAAAACCACCTGCTTCGATTTGGGCACTTAGGCAGTATCACAGCCCTTTCACAAATCAAATGAGATTTGTGTGGCGCATGAGTATCTGGTGCCTCTTTTTACCACTGTTTATGCGTTTAAATAAATAAATTAATGAAGTCGGAATGGACAACACGGCGTATGAACTCATCATGGGACAACATCGACTGGGAGAGAGAAACGAAGATGGGGAGAGATTTGCAAATATATGTGCACTGAATAAATTGGTTATAGGCGGTACGATATTCCCACACAAACACATACACAAAGTTACATGGGTTTCACCGGACCACACCATGGAGAACCAGATAGATCATATGTTATATCTAGAGCTTTGATTCTTGTTATGCCGCTTACTAGTAGACTACCTTAACGATCGGACCCGCAACGTCGCCAGAGGGAAGACAAAAGACTAGTAAGTAGGAATGTATTTCCCAACACAATGTCACTTATGGTACAAAACTGTCAAGTACTTATACTTTTTAGTAAAAACGAAATCATCATTATAGTTATCCAGTCCGCACACAGGGGGCTATTAGCATTGTCCAATGACGAAGGACAAAAAGACAACAATTAATAACAGTTGAACAAGAACGGATAAATTCAAGCCACAGACCGATTACACCGGAAGCAAACAAGCAAGTGAAGAAGAGCATTAGAGCTGACAGGTGTTTCGAATCTCATATGTTCTTCAAGTGTATGAATGTCGTCCTTACTTTGTCAATCCTCACCATTACGTCTGCATCAGATCCTCCGTGTTCATCGATGTTGCTGTTTAGGCACGTGAGAATCGCCACCTCTTCCAGAGTTTCTCCATCAAGTGTGATTGATTTGGTGTTCTCCCTTGTGTATGTCGAGACTTACTGATGCAGAGGTTGCTGTTACACTGGTTGTCTTGACCTGCATTTGTTGGTTTGTATGGCTTAGAAGAGCCAGGTGACCTGTGAAGTCCAAATCGTCTAGTTGCATGCAAGCTGTCCAGTGTAGTCCGTGCTTCCCCTCAGATGTCGACGTCTTCATAATCCAGTCAACCAGCAGATGAAAGAGAAAGGGTGTAGAGAAGAAAGACTTGTCTGAAACCAGTCGTCACATGGAATGCGTCTGTCAGCTGTCCTCTGCGCACGATTTATTGTGTAGTTGTTTGATGTGTGGGCGAGAATGATAATGATTGGTTGTCTCGATGAGTCAGACATTAGAGGGGATGACAGGTGTTATATGTGTTATATATATTCCCCTATCATTATTATGTATTGACTGTTCCTTGTTGATGGACATTTATTGATTGACTGTTCTTTGTGTCGGATTTTCGTGTGGAAATATATTGACGTTATAGTTAGGCTAATCTCGTGTTCTTGATCTGAGTTCTGTTGAAGTCCTGTAGAATGGACACTGGGTGGGAATCTAGTGTAGATATTCGTCTAAGATAAATTAACGTCCCACATATGTGTAAGAAGTAAAAGGACTGTTATAACAAGAACCCCTACTGTTATAACCAGCATCCTCTCCTTTACGTTTATAACAATTAGCGACGGCATACCTACGTTTATAACAATTGGCGACGGTGATTAAAACGGATCTACGCTTACGTATTCAGTTAAAGTGAATTTTGTATCAAGAAAATGGATGATCTGAAAACCTTATTGCAACAGCAAAATACTGTTATCGAATTATTAGTCAAAAATATGTCGATATCCTCAAGAACTGATGTGTCTAATTCCACTATGACTCCGGATTCTATTGCAAATTCAATAACTGAATTTAGATTTGATCCTGAAAGTGGAGTTACTTTTGAGGCATGGTTTAAACGCCATGAGGATTTATTTATTAATGAATGTAAAGAGTGGGACGAAAGTTCGGAATTGAGATTATTATTACGAAAGCTCGGAGTGTCCGAACATGAAAAATTCTGTAATT